CCCCAAAGCCCCACTTAGGGATCTTTTTTCATTTTGTTTGTTTCTATGTTGTTTGTTTTTTGAGACATGGTTTCTCTGTGTAGCTCTGGCTGTCCTAGAACTCACTCTAGACTAGGCTGGCCTTGAACTCACAGAGATCCGCTTGCCTCTGCCTCCCAAGTGTTGGCATTAAAGGCGTGCACCACTACCACCTGGCTCCACTTAGGGATCTAACTCAGGCCTGTTGGGCTCTGAAGGATTTGTTAAGTGTGAATAACCATAGCCTCAGAGATTAGACTGTTGGTCAGCTCCTTTACGGCTACTGACTTTGGGATGGATTCTCACAAGACTCGTGCATACTTTATTCTTGATATGTGTAATTCTTGGTTGAATCCTCATCAGATGGTATCTACTCTGTTTAAGTGTTTTATTTATTTTTGTGTATGGCATTCATGGGTGTGTGTATGTAGGTTTGTGTGTACTCTGGTGTGCATGTGGAGGTCAGAAGACAACTTCTAGAGTTGGTTTGCCTTCCATCTTGTTTGAGGCAAAAATCTCATTTGTTGTTGTAAGAGCCAGCTTTGGTTGACCTGCAAACTCCTGGAGATCCTCCTGTCTCCATCTCCCCCTAAGATTGCCTTAGGAGAACTGGGGTTTACAGACACATGCTAACATGTCTGGCTTTTCATGGGTTCTGGGGGCCTGAATTCACTTCTTCAGGCTTGTGTGGGACTTGACTTACCCACTGAGCCTTCTCTCCAACCCAATTGTGCTTCCTTTTTTTTTCTTTTTAGTATACTGATCAGGCTAAGAAGCTCTAGAATTACATTCCCAGACTGTTTCTAGGCTGCCTGAGGCTGAGCTTATTGGGAATTTCAAATTAAATTTCCTGTGCAGTTTGGGCGGAGAGTGCTGATTCACAGATGGTCAAGCAGCTCTGTCCTTCTTGGCCCCATCTCTAGACTGGAAGACTAGCTGCTAAATAGCACACTGCCGAAATGAGGTCTCTGTGGTTTCCTATCATGGTGGCATGGGTCAGTCACACTGGACGTTGATATGTGGTCCTGTTAGGGAATGTGCTGCAGGCCTCTCTGCCAATAAGACTTAAGCCGTGTTCCTAAGTCCTAAGAACTAGAATTGTGGAATGCAGAACCAAGTGCTAAGAGTGTTCACAATGCAAGTACTGGTGGTGTATTAAAGCATAAAGGAAAGGTGCTACCCTGGGTTGTCTGGAAGCCCCAAGATGGGGGGGGGATATTGATTAACTTGCCTGAAAGCACATAGCTCTCTCCAGTGGAGGAAGAGCTGAGCTTTGAGCCCAGGTCAATGGATTCAAATGGGCATTTTTCTTTCCACTACATCTGTGGTGGAGTCATCAAGTACCTGTCCATTTGGGCTGGTGGATTGGAACACTGAAAATCAGACAGCTTACAGCAATAGCCATTTATTTATCATGGACGTATCCAGCCTGGGATGTAGCTCAGAGGTACAGTACTTGCCTGTTTATCATGGACGTGGAGGATGAAAAATACCTGCAGATTCCATGTCTGGTGAAGGCTCACTGGCTTACATGATGGCTTTTTACTGGGTCCTCACATTGCAAAGTGGGCAGATGAGCTTTCTGAAGTCTCTTATTTGTATATTTACTTATTTTATTAAATTAAAAAAAGATTTATTATTTTATGTACATGAGTGTTTTGCCTACACATATGTCTGTGGCACCATGTGCATGCCTGGTTCCCAGCCAAGATCAGAGAAGGCATTGGATCCCTTAGAACTGGAGTTCTGGATGGTTGTGAGCTGCCATGTGGGTGCTGGGAATTGAACCTGGATCCTCTCTGCAAGAGCAAGTGCTCTTAACCACTGAGCCAACTTTCCAGTGCCCTATTTACTTGTTTGTGAGATGAGGTCTCATGTAGCCCTGTTAAGCTATCCTTGAATTATCCAAAGATGACATTGATCCTATTCTCCTTCTAAGCGGTGGGATTATTAGGTATGTGTTACCTTACTTGACTCTACTTATTTAGAGATAGGGCCTTACTATGTAACCCAGGCTGGCTTGGAACTTGTGACTCTCCTGCCTTACCTTCCCAAGTGCTCAGATTACAGGCATACTTCACCACACCTGGTTTAGGGACCACTTATAGGAGGGTGCTGATCCCATTGATGAGCAACCCCATGACGGAGTCATTTCCCAAAGGCTTCATATTAAAACACTAAACAAGTGCCACTTGGAGCGTTGTTTGGGTATATGGAAACTGTCCCTCACTGGTAGCAGGGAAGGTAGCCCTGATACCTACAAGTGACTTTAAAGGAGGGTGTTGACGTCTATCTCTTCGGTTTACTTAATCTCATGGGCTTGTTTGCTCCTCCAGATGCTGTGCTGGAGATGGGTTCTGAAGCAGAAATGCCCCCTGTGCTCTAATACTCTATCCTTGTGGCTTATTTATTTTTCCATCTTGTAAATTTGAGGAATCAAACCAAGATTCCCAGTTAAATTCCTATTTACTTTCTAGGCCAAGCAGCAGTTGGAGGGGTATTCAGATATTTAGGTGGAGGTCTCCAGCCTGCGCTGATTCTGTGGGGACCGTCCCTGTCTCTTCTCTGGTCTTTCACGAAGAGAGCCTGTGGAGGAGAATGAGATCATGTCTGCAAAGTGAGCCGAACTCCTTGGAGCGAGAAGCTAATGATCCCAGGGCCTACGAGTGCCATTATCTGTCTCCAATTTCTAATCCTGATTCAAGGGCCAGACTGAGTTTATCTTGCAGAACTGGTCAGCTCTCGAGTCAAAGAGCTGAACTCTCTTCTTTTCCTCTTCTGGGTTTTCAGATGGTGACAAGAGCCCCTACTGCCATGGCAACGGGAACGGTGGAAAACTTAACCCTGAAATGTGGGCTGGAGTTGGCAGCTTTTGTGGCAGGGCCAGTCATCCCCCAGAGGCTCTTCCTCCATTTTGACTTTGCTTACCGAAGCTGGGATTGAAGGGACCCAAACCAGAGGCTCTGGGGGCATGCGGTGCGTTCTTCGTCGGGCGTGAAGAATGGCTCCGATACTCACAGGCTGCATGACGCTCAGCAAGTCACTTAACCTCTCTGAGTCCACATTGTAGGGACGCGACTTAGGCCCTTAGATGAACTTGAGAGTGCTCTATCCATGGGGTCTGTTTGAAGCAAGAAGTCTAGGTTGTCCCCTATCAGCTCGTGCTTGTGAGTTCATCATTCTGTAAGAGTGTGGGCCAGGACAAACACCTGAATCTTAAGTTTTCTTAGGGAAGGGAGATTTTGGGAAAATCAGCCTAAAACTTTCTTTGTAGTAGACATTTCTTCTTAAGATGTGATAATGTAAAGGACCAGGTGTCCAGCTCAGTGGCAGAGTACTGACCTAGCATGCATAAGGCCACGAGTGCAACACTGCAATAAAAAAAATGTTCACACCCGGGCGGTGGTGGCGCACGCCTTTAATCCCAGCACTCGGGAGGCAGGGCCAGGCGCATCTCTGTGAGTTCGAGGCCAGCCTGGGCTACAGAGAGAGTCCTAGGACAGGCACCAAAACTATACAGAGAAACCCTGTCTCAAAAAATCATATAACATTTTTTTTTGAAGGGAAGTAAAGAAAAAAAATAGTGTGATAGCATGGAGAGAAGAAGAAATTTGCAGCAGCCAGCCAGGGAACAGAGAACCAGGCCTCTGCAGGTCTGGCCCACAGATACACTCTGAGTCATTCGCTTCCTCTCTCTGACTTAGGACTTCCACTTTGTCCTGTGGATTTAAAAAGTGGAGGGTTCTTTGAAAAAACAAAACCAAAACCAAAACAAAAGAAAAAAACAAAACAAAACTGAATAAAATGCCTTTCAGAGTCGGGACGAAATTATCTTCACCTGAAAAATGGCTTTCTCTCCAGCTCTCCCAGGACTGACATCCGACAGCCAGTGCCTCCTCGACAGCACGTTCCCAACAGGGCTCCACTGTCTGGGCTCAGGACAGCCCCCGCACTTGTCACCGAGGGGGTTCTGGCGCTAAGACTGGAGAGGGGAGAATCCACAGGGGAGAGAGGGAGAGGAGGGCCTAGAAGCTTAGGCTCAGGTGTCGGTTTCACCTCTGGGTGCTTTTCTGGGCTGGGCCACCAGCCCCTCGCCAGAGCCTCTGTGTCAGAAACGGTGAACGAGGCATTCCAGAGCTCCCTGTGAACTTCAGGAAGGCCACCGCGTTTCCCCCATCACTCTGTCCAAAGAACCAGATCCCAATGACATAAAGCAGGAGGGCTTTATTTGAATTCATTGCTTCAGAGGGTTCAGCCGGTCATCGCCTGGTTCCATATGCTTAGGCAGAACAGCATCCTGGCAGGGACCTATGGTGTAAGAGAGCGAATCACTACTTCATCTGGGAAGTAGAGAGCAAGCCAGGAAGTGACCTGGGATAATATACGTCCAAGCATCTGCCCTCCATGACCAACTTCCTCTACTAGGCCTTACCTCTTAGAGTGGCCATAGCCTTCCTAAATAGTGGCCCCAACTGGGGGCTACACATCCAAACCATGAGCCTGTGGGGACCTTTAATATTCAATTTATAACAAGCTATCGTGTCTCCTGGGGCCCTAATGGCTACCTACATCCATAAAGCAAAAGCATTGGCCCTTCTTGAAGCTGAAGCCTGAGTTACACGTCTGTGTGGCTTCGGGGCTACAGGGTCAAGCATGAGCAGCTTCTGCCTTGGGGCCTTTTCAGGGCCTGCTGGGAGAGAAGGTCAGCCGTGGCTCTCTTCAGAGTCCCTTTGCAAGCTCTCAGTGAGGAGGAGGAGGCTGGGTGGATGGAGGGATTCACAGGCGAAGGTGAAGATAGATTGACAGGATCGTTTCCTTTTCATGGGTGGCGTTATTTGCTTTCTAGAGAAATCTTTATTCCCCACCCAGCAGGGACTTGCTCACATCAGTATACAAAGTACATGCTTTGTGTGTCCTGGGGTTTCCCAGTTTTTCTCTCTTTGTCCTGCCTTTTCTGTAGCTGCTCTTGCTTCTCTTCCTCGTGCCCCCACACCCCCTACCTCTTTGGTTTTTCTCCCCAGGCTGGGCTCTCCCTCAGCTTGCCCTCCCTATCTCTAGGCTCTGCCTAACTCGGGAGGCTGAGTGTTTTGGTCTGCTATGGGCAAACATCAGCCAGACAGAGGCTTAGGAGAGGAAATCCCTGAGGGAGTTCAGTTGGTCTGCAGCTCTGAGTGACAGACTGGGTGGGTTGCCTGTGTGCAGCGGAGGGCAGAGGCAGGAGGCTTCTGGTGCCTTGGTGATGAACTCAGCCTCCAGGCCGGGGATCCCGCTGCAAGACTCAGCTCCTGTGCATTCCCAAAAGGGATCATCAAGGTACAGATGATGACATCATCTTATGTTTCTGAGAGAGAGCCTCACTGCAGCTTAGGATGCTTGTTAGAAGGGAGTAAGAATGTGTTTGGAAGAGCTTTGCTGAACTGCAGTGGAATATGACTCTGGGTGCAGGGTGGGAAGTCATGGTTGGGCTGAGGAGGCAGGCTCAGCCTGCAAGCCTGCAGGAATGTGCGTTGTGGGAGAAGGCTAGGTATGCTGCTCACGTAAGGGAAAGCAGAGCGATCAGTCCCATCAGAGCTCTGTGCTGGCCCAGGATTAGAACAGCCCTTTTTTTTCCTGGGCTAGAGTAATTTAAATGTAATGGATGGGATATGCAAATATTCCAGTTAACGACTGAGGAGAGAGGACACAGTTCAAGGACATGCATATGTGTGGAATGGGGCTTCAGCTGCACGTGTAGCATCTGGTGCCCTGACACTCCAGGTAGCACCTGGGATGCTAAAGTCAGAGGGATGAGGGTGGAAGAACTGGAGTGTGGTGAGGATGCTAAGGTGTGACTGGATGCCGGAATGTGGCTGGGATGCTGGGGTGTGGCTATGACGTTCATGAGAGCATCTTCTGTCTGAAGGATGATTCCTGGTGGATGATCACTAGACTTGTCATAGCTCCTCAGTAAATTGAGTGCATTTTTACATTCTGTTGAGGCAGAAGAACTTTAGTCAAGCTTATTTATCATTTGTATCAAGTGTTACCTCTCTGTGCTCTGTACCCATTTTCCACTGGCTTATTTGTGCTTTTCGTTGGATTCTTGGGGGACCTTAGTATCTCATACATCATAACTTTTATTAAATTGCTGCAATAATTGTTACAAATCATGGCTGATTTGAGCTTCTTTGATATATATAATCTTTGAGGTACAGTTGGTACACAATAAACTTCCCATAGTTATGACATTCAATTTTATGGGTTTACGAATATACACACCAATGAAAGCATCACAATCAACTAACATATTCATGTCCCCCAAAGACCCCTGAACCTCCTGGTCATCTCTTCTCTGTTGTACCCTCACTGAAGCAATCTATGATCTTTCTGATACCATAACTCAGCTTACATTTTCCAAGTTTTCCTAAGTAAAGCTGTACAGTATGCACTCCTCTTTTTAAGATATGACTTCTTTACTCAACACTCAATGTAAGATTTTGGACTTTATCTACATTGTTCCTTGATTCCATGGTGCATATTCTTTGTTGCTGAGTATGGATTTGTTACCATTCGGTTAGTCATTTCCCCAATGGTGGGCATTGTCTCCAGTTTGTGGTTATTAAAAAATAAACCTGCTGCAAAGTTTTTGGCCATGGAATTTTGGTAGTAGAATTCGAAAAAAAATAAAAGCATGTTTTAGACAGAGATGAACAGGGTCACAGAGAAGGAAGGGCCAGGGCATGGACAGGGGACAGTGAAAGACAGAGTGTTAATATGGAGGGAAATGAGGAAAGACAGAGCTGACTGGAGATGTATTTCAGAGAGGCTAGAATTTATGCATGAGGAGCCATGACAGTTCTTTATTAAGGTGCAGAGGACATGGTAAAATTTTCAGTCCTTCATATTGACATCCCTTCAGTTCATATTGAATGACCAAAGTTCACACTGATGTCCCTTGGTTCACACAGAATGAGTAGTGTTCACACTGACATCCTTTAGTTTATACAGACTGAGCAGCATTCACACTGATGTACCCTTGGTTCATACAGACTGAGCAGCACTCACACTGACGTCCCCTCCGTTCATACAGACTGAGCAGTGTTCACTCTTGCATCCCTTCAGTTTATACAGAATGAGCAGCATTCATTCAGACATTCCCTCTGCTCGTACTTACTGAATGAGCAGTTTGCTTTCAACCTTGCATTAGGAAACATCCCCTTAAGCTTGGCACTAGGAGCTGATGAGCAGTTCAATCCCCACTGCTGCAAAATAAATTTGAAAAATGAAAAACATAGATTTTTTATGAATAACCTCTAGTTTTGAGTCAGGCATGGCGGCACTAGCCACTCAGGAAAGGCTAAGGCAGGAGGATCTTAAGTTCAGGACCAGCCCGGGCAACTTAGTGAGACGTCTATCTCAAAATAAAAAGCAAAAGGATGTCTGGGAATCTAGCCTGTGGTAGAACACTTGGTCAGCAAGTGTGAGGCTTTTGGTTCAATCCCCACTGCTGCAAAATAAATTTAAAAAAATGAAGCTTTAGTTTCACAGTAATTTCCACTAAAAATTGAGACTGTGTTAGCATGGGAAGATACAACATCACAAATGAAATATTTCCTCTTATAGACACCATCATGTGGTAACAGGACAGGACCCAGGGTAGACAGTTGTTGGGGGATGTGCAGGTAATTAAGAAGTCAGCCTGCCTGCACTGAGGGGCACAGCCAGTTGGAGATAACCCCTCAAATGCCCCAACCCCTTTCTCATCATTGCCATGGGTTAATCCCAGATGGAAGCCTCCATGTGGTCCAGGCAAGTAGACAGGCCTGCTGAGCGGGCCAACGTGTGGGCACATTTGCTCCCTTCATCTGCCCTCTGTCCTCCATCCTGATTCATATACTTCAGGATCATCGGTACCCTCTGACTTAGATTTGACCAACAGGAGGCACCACCAGGGGGAGTGACAGGGTCTTTATTTCCCTGCTGGCTGCTGCAGCCTGGACCAAAGGACCAAAAAGGACCAAAGGACCAAAGGCCACACAGCTCTTCCTATTAGAAAACTCTACCACCTTCAAATGCTATTTCCTTGGGTTCTAGCAACCAGTAGATTCCCACGTCCCTTTAGATCCAGGGATGGTAATGAGTCCCTGATAATGGCAGCCCTGGGCACCACACCATTCCTGGCTATTTTTTCTAATTTTGCTGATGGCTTTATGAATTGTCTCTTTGTGTCTGTCCTTGGTGACCTGGTTTGTATTCCATCAGTTTCTTACCAGGACTGACTGTTACAAATAGACTAGGTCCTTCCTTGCAAGAGAGAGGAAGGCTGTATTTCAGGGAAAGATCTGTTAGCACAATTTCTTCTAGCATGTTCCAGCAGAAAGGAACACAGGCTGCATTACAGCTGCATCAGCTAGTGACCCTAGCACAGCTAAATGAGTCACTGGTTTTAGACTTGTTATAGCTTCTCTTTTAACAGGTTGTTCCATCTCCAATTCCTAGTCCACTTTTATTAATTAGGCTGCTGAGCGCATCATCTTACACCCCACTCCTGCCCCTGTTCCCCAGATTCCTTGCCTGGGGTGGGTGTTTTCTAAGGTTCTTGGCAAAGTTGCACAATTTGTAGACTTTTCTCGTGATTCTTAGTTCTCTTTAATCAATGGCAGGGTTGGGAAAGAGCTGATATCCCACCACTGTTAGAGGCTGGTGGTTCGTTATGAGGCCAGGCACCTGGAGATATGCAAAATGCAACATGAATTATAACATTAAAGACAGCCAGGCAGTGGTGGCGCATGCCTTTAATCCCAGCACTCAGGAGACAGAGGCAGGTGGGTCTCTGTGAGTTCAAGGCCAGCCTGGTCTACAGAGCTAGATCCAGGACAGCGGAGGCTATCAAGGACATTTGAACAACACAAGTGTAATCAGAAGTAAGCTGTTCAGGAGGTCGCGGCACTGGTGTGTGGGTTCATGTGGATCAGTGGAAAGAAAACTCAGAGGCACCTTAAGAATGAATTTAGCCTTTCTCGGCTGCAGGGGGATCCAGTCTCTTAAGGACTGAAACACTTTCCCTTTGCCGAGGGCATTTTTATTTTTCTCTATATTTACAGTTTAGTCAGTTGATTTCCACATGTTCAAAACAACCTGAAAGAAGCTCCCAAAAATACAATGCCAAGTACAAATTCCTCGATTCATCAGGTACACAGTTTTCCGGGTTTCCTGAACCAAGTTTTGCATAGGCCTTTGTATCCTTGGGAGACTCTGAGACAAGATTCACCTAGGGAGAAAAGAGAAACAAAAGGTGTCTGCTACACAAAAGATGGATTAGGGCTAGGTGCTACTCTCTGGAGCCAGGCCAGGTGTAGCCCAGTGGGAGCACAGCCACATTTGAACAAGATGAATGTAATCAGAAGTGAGCTGTTCAGGAGGTACCTACTGAATGCATGCTCTGGGTCAGGCAGTGTTCTAGGAGCCAGGGGGAGGACTTCACACTGGGGCTATTTCCTGCCTCATGCTATTCTTATTATGCTGCTATTAATAGGAATAATGAGGTATAACTGGCATATTAATGCATTGAAAATCTGCTGTCTAATTAAGTAATTAAATCAGTGACTGCTTAGCACACACAGTGGGGATGTATTGGTCTTGGTGAAGTCAGCACTGAGGAATGCTGGTATTTTGGTGGAGGTCATTGAAAGCTCTGTCACACACAGTGTAGCGTGTGTCAGACAATATGGTTTGTGTGTGAATGTGAAGGGTCCAGAGAGTACCATAGGACAAGCTGGTCTTCAGAGCCTGGCTGTGCCTGTCACTGTATGTGAGCTCTGGTGAGCTTGGGGACCTCTCTGTGCCTTAGCTTTCTGGCTTGTCAGCTGTAATGCCTGCATCATGTTCTTCTAGGGTCCATGCTTGCTCTCTGCGTGACAGCTGCTTAGGAGCGGCCCTTGGTGACCCTTGATGTCCTCCCTTGACTTAGTGATTTTAAGACTTTATTTTAAATTGTGCCTACATGTGTGTCTATCTGTGGGCATGGACACATGAGTGCAGGTACCTGTGGAGGCCGGAAGAGGGTGTTGGAGCCCCTGGATCTGGAGTTACCGGTGGTTGTGAGCCACCTGGTGTGGATGCTGGGAACAGAACTCAGGTCCTCTGCCAGAGCAGCAAGCATACTTTATGGCTGAGTCATATCTCCAGTCCGGACTCTGTCTTTGCTCACTCTGTCTCCCCTCTGACAGACAGCAAGCATCTCCAGGGCAGCTCTCTGCCTCTCCTGGGGATAAACAGAGGTACTTGATGGAGCAACAACTGAGAAACAACACAGCTGGGAGCATTTCTGTGGC